GGGCACTTATCTCAGATCACAGCTGTGTGCAGCAGGGGCTCAGCTCCCTCCCTGCCCTGTGCTCGCTAATGGGGGAGGGGCTCGGATGGGATGCGATTTTTAGACTCATTAACAGCTCTTCAGCCAGTTAAAGGCTCTGTCACAGGGCACATCCTGCTGATTCAGCATGAGAGCAGTTCCTGTCTCAAGAAGAGGAATAAAAAAGGGAAATCAATCTCCCTTACCTTAGGAGACATGAGTAACACCTTGCACAGCTGTCTTTGTGAAATGTGAACCTATAGTATGAAATTCTGTGGCCTTGCTGATGCAGTTAAAGCAATATGATTTTTTCAGCAGTCAACAAAATTGTGTAGGTATAAATGCAGTCACCAAACGCTGACTTGTAACTTTGATTTGAAGAGATCCGTTGCTCCGCAGAGCTGTTTGTATACAGTTTGGGTGGCTGTGGTGTGAAGGATGGGGAGGTGGAACCTAGGGAAGTAAGCAGATCAAAAAATGGAAAAAAGGAAAAGAAGATTTTTCAAAGGGCACTTGTGAGGATTTGAAGTACACCTGTCATTATCCCCTCTTCCCCTGAATTTTCTTTTTAAATCTTTTGCAGTAAACATTGTCCAGGGGATATTAAAACATCAGAACCATAGCCAATAAGCATTTGGTAAGAAAAAAGGCAAAGTACACAGGAATAAAAGGCACATATTCACCATGAACATCCTCTTATTACAAGAGCTGGCAACACTAGTGAATTTTTACACTTCTTTAGGGGAACAAATGATTTTTACATGAGGAATCTTTGTGTTAAAAATATGAATATGATGCAGGCCTTAGTTGGTCTCTGCCCTGACTCACCTCCCTGAAGTCACTGTGCTTCTTTGGAGCAGGGGAAAGGACCTTCCCTGTTTTTTGGCATGGTACCAATATCCCTCAGGACACCTATGACCAGAGTAACTGATTTGTATGAGAGCTGCTTAGGGTAAGGGGGGTGCTGCAGGAACATAGATGTGCATCTGCATTGAGAAGGAAAATGACCTGAAAGGTAAAATGAAAGGAAAACATTGTTGTGGATACTTTTCAGCCTTGGGCACTCAAGAAGGGGCTGGGAAGGGAAGGAAATAAAAAAAAGCAGCATATCACAAAGTGAAGAAAGCAGTAACATTTTACAGCAGCTGAAGATCTCTTTCACTGTGTTTGCAGTCCTTTCATGTGGTGTTATCGGAGTTCTTTGCAAAGGTTTATTATCACGTTCTCCCAGACATAAAGCAGACAGTGGTCCTGTGACCCACATCCTGAATTTTACAGCCCTCGTTGTCCTGTGCCATCTGGATATTTATAGTGTGACCCACCACTGGGAGAGCAGAGGACTTCCTTTATACTCTGAACACTGTGCTACGATAATAATGAGAAAGTGGGACAAATGACAGGCCTTCCTGCCCACAACATGTCATAACCCCAGCTGGCTATGTCACTGCACTGTTTGTTCAGTGGGTTTCACATGACTGGTCTTGCAGCTGCAGTGAAACTGAGGTGAAGGGCTGTACCTGGGGTGGTACAGAGTTTAAATGATCTGTAGTTTGAATGGAGAAGCAAAGGGGTAAGAGGAGAAGCTAAAGCTGCTCAGTTAGGGCAACATGTGACGAGCCGGTCTGTTCCAAGTCTGGCTGTTAAATCAATGGCAAAGCAAGATGCAGACAGCTCTTTAAGTTCAGTGCTGGAGGGCTCAGGTGAAATAAAGCCCTTCACAGGGATCTAATGTTTTTATTCCTATTGTTTCTGGCAAACATTTGCCTTGATCTTGATTATCTATACAATAAATGTTTTTATTTCAGAGGTTAAAACGAAGGAGTTGGCTTCCTGATCAGCACCCTTCCTTTCTGCATCACCCCTGAGGTGTGATGCTGCTTCGGGCTGGTGTTAGCACCTCTGCATGAATCACACAAGGGGATTCCCAGCAGCTGTTTGTCTTCCCCCTGAGAAGATTCAGAGCAGAACAGAGAGAGATAACACAGCCTTTAACTAAATTTGGGCATGCATGCTGCCACTACCCAGCAAAGGTCAAACATGCTCTAGAGCTGTAAGAGGCCAGTGAGAGAGATAAAGAAGATGAGATGTGTGTCGAATAAGATAAGAGCAAGGGGACTTACATGATTAGCAAAGAGTTCAGGGCTGTGTGGGATAATGTGACCAGGGGTTAGTGACCCGCTGGCTCCAAAGCTGGTGCTGGAAGGGGTGCAGAGTCTTGCAGCTGGTTTCTGGTTGCCCTAGCAGAAGCCTGAGTGAGGGCTGAGCAGCATCCGCTCAGCCACCTCTGCCTTTCCTGCTCACTTGGTTTGCAGGGTTGTCATGAGTGCCTACAGATTTGCTTGGAAGGAGTACTGGGCTCTATGTGCTGGCCCCCATGACATGTCCATCCCTGTGCTTTGTGCTTAAGATCTCAGGGTACCAGAACAAAGAAATAACTGCAACTGGGTAGAACTGAATGGCCTCTGGAGGCCTTCTGGAGGCCCTCTCCTGCCTCCAGAAGAAAAAAAACCAAGATTGTAGATTTGTAGATTCAAATTGGATGGTTGTTGGGATTATGCCAGACTAGAGCTCTTAATACTTAAAGAAGCCAGGGAAGAAGAAAAGATGGGGTGAGGTCAGAGTGCTTAGTTGATGGAAAAGAGAGCAAAACAACAGTGGTTTCCACATGCAGCTTCCCTGGATCTGGGCTGGTCTCATGTTCTGCAGGTAGAACTGGGACAGGAGATGGGTATGAGGATGAATTCATTGTTTCTCCACAGCATGTGTGGGCCCAACGGTGAGGTCTAACTTGTTTGTGAGCCAGTGACAAAAGACAGACTTGCACATTTTAACCATGCGTAGCTTACGATATTGTCAGTGAGTTGTTGGTGTTGTTTTTTTAAATATTGAAATAATAGCTTTGCTGTCTTGAAGTCTTATCAGCACAGAGCATGCCATTCTTTACTGCAACATAGCCAAAGTAAACTATCCCAGTTTCATATCAAGTTGTGCAAAGAGAGTGGAAAATGTTCTGACATGGTGGGTTTACACAGAGCAAATGGCTGGTTGCCAGGCTGTAAAGGAGGAACCTGCTCATGCATGGAAGCAGAACATACCTTAAAGGTAGCAAACAAAGAACTCAGCTTGGAAACATGTGACCTAGTGACTAAGAAGATCTCGAAAGCGTGGATGTGGAAGGTAATTTTTTTGCAAATAAACATACAAGAGAGAAAGCCAATGTCTGTACTCTGTGGTGTAACTAACCAGCCACAACGTCAGGTTTTGCTACAGTGAAGTAGCAGTCCCCTAGAGAATACTGCAGCCTTTTAACACTTCACCAATATACTTGTCTTTATCGAGACAGTGCAAACATCAGAGCACATGCTCCATTTTGGCTCCACGATAACATTATCAGCGAAGAGCATATCCATGCAAAATCTTTATTTGGAGAATGTCTCCTGTTGAACAACAGCCCCCCTCCAATTTACATGTAAGCACAGAAACACAGTATTTGCATTGTGTGGAGAAAAATACAGAGAAAACTCTTAAAACACATTCATTTTCTGATACGAATACTATTGTAATTGCTTGCTCGTGTTCTCTCTTTCTCCCTCTAACTTCCCTTGGGCTACCTGGAGCAGAAATCCAAGGAAATCAGCCAGTATTAGTTTTGGAGGTAGGCCACAGTATCTTGAAAGAGAATTATCTGCAATGTGTAAAGACAAAGACAGATACCAGTATTCTGTCTAGCACATATAACTCCTCATTTTCCTTAGGTTAGGAACGGCTTTTGGAATGGTTCTGATTGTTTTCTCTGCAAGTCCAGATCTAGAAAGAAGGCTGAGATTGCTGCTGTTTAGGGTGGAAAGCTCCTCTTTCATTTATAATCCGTATGTTATTGTGGTTTCTCTTGGCTGGGAAATTTCATTTTTATTTCTAATCTCAGCCATGTGTTGGTCAGTTCTGACTTAAGTTCCCTTCACCCTCTCCCTGCTGTGCAGCTCTGCAAGTCATATTGCAAACATATTTTTCTGCATGGGTGGGAGATAGCAAAGCCCCAAACCACAGTGCTATTGATATCAGGATTTCCCTTTTTCTTTCTTGGAAACATTTTTTCCTTTAAAAATAGAGTTGATGGTAAACAGCTTTTGTTTACATCCAGAGGGGAGGTGCAGTGTACATTTTCATGCAAGTTTGAATAGCAGCACTAAATTACAATTTCCCAACATTTCTAATGGATTCAGTGATAGAATCATCATCTCATGAAATCTCCAGTTTGATCCTTTATTGAGGCTATGCAGAAGAATAGAAGTTTAAATGCTGTGGTCTGCGCGTGTAAGTAAATCTCACTGCAGTAAATGAGGACCACAGTATCATGGTTTACTGCCAGTGGAATGAAATTAGGACAGTGATTCATCCTCCCCCAAAGTAACATTGTCCTGCAAAAGGACAGCTTTACAAAAATCATTCAAAAAGCCAAGAGGTCAACAATCCTTTCCATCCTTTTAACACATATTACCCTGCAGTTTTGTCTCACTTCAGCTGTTGGCTCCTGTCAAGTAAAGATTTACTTCTAAGGTATACTCACCTCAGTGAGATCTTAAACTTGGACAAAATGCCTGTTTTGCAAGAAATTCTGCCATTTGAAATGCAAGACTCTCACTTTTACTGTTCTCCCAATCATTTGTTTTTCTTTTGAAAAGGGGCAGTGAAGAAAATGTCATTTTAAATGTGAGGAAGAGGTTCAGTACTGCAAAACTAACATTCAGCTGGCTGTCCATATGCCAAAGGCAACAGAATATTGACTAATATTGATTTATGATGTTAAACAGAAATATTTTACTAAACTCAAATGTTTATATGTGAGTAAGCTTGACAGGACTGGTTGTTTTCAAAGGGTGCACACTTGACAGATTAATTTTATTACTCGACCACTTTAAGCACATACTATCCTTCCTTTTTTCAAAGGTTTTGGCTGTTTCAGTATATAGGATCTTTGCTCCCAATACCCTTTCATTTTTATATGTTCCATCAGGAGCTGAGTGAAGGAAACAATGGCTTCAAAACAGTATGCAGTTGTTTGCTGTGGGAGCTGTGGTATGAAATACAACAGTCTATCTTATGCTTAAGGAAAGCTTTTTTGTCGTTTTTTGTTGTTGCTGTTTTTGTTAGCTGGCAAATTAGGCTTATTCCGGCCTTTCAGTTATCAATGATTTTGATTCATGCAAAGGGATTTCTCTTCTTTGCATGACTTATCCCACCCCACTTAGCTGCGATGGCAGTGGGATTTGAAATACACACTTCAGAACACACTTCTGCCCAGTTCAGGATGCCTCTAGCAAGGACTGGAGTGGCTCAGAGTACTGATTCTTCCTTCAGAGCTCTAATTCGTGCTCAGGGGAACCACACGAGGGAGCACTTCAACCTTCAAAAAATGCCATTCCCCTCAGGGAGTGAGTCCCCGAGCACATTTTCACTTCTCACCTCCTCGCTGTAAAGCCAGTGACATGATTTTCTCGCTCAGCATAGGTGAGCAAAGCTGGCGTAGCACTCAGAGCTCACTGGTGACTCGTCTTTCTCAGCCAGAAGAGCCTCAACCTTTGGATATGCTGTGTATCTTCCTGGCACAGGAGCTGGTACCTCAGCACTGCCACTAAGTGCTGCTACTGTTGCTAACCCTGAAAGTTGACCATCCATTGTGGATTTCAGCAGAGTAAATGGAAAGAGATGGTTGTTTAGCTATCCATCTCCAGGGGAGTTTCCCCATTAAATGTTTTTAAAATATGTAAGCCCAGACTCTGGTTTGTTGGGTTTATTTGTGGGGATTTTTTTTTGCCTGTTTCTAGGAACACTTGTGAAACCAGTATCATCCCAACCAACCACTCTGACAGCCTACCATCCAACCCCAGCATCCTCAGATGCAGTAGTAGGACAGCGAGACAAGCTGCATACATATCCAACAACGTGCTTTTTGAGGAACCGGCTCTGCTCTTCCTCCTGAGAATAAATGTAAATACAGAGTCCTGCAGTCACACCGCTGCATTGCAGGAGGCACTATGAACAGGCCCCGCAACCTCTTCTGCATCCACTCAGCCCTGAGCTCCTGCAGCTGCCATTACCACTGATAGCTGTTGCCATGACAGTTTATGCTCCTACTGAGCACTGAAAGTAATCATTTTCTACTTTTTAACTACATCTGGTGTAGAAGGAGCTTTCTGCTGACTATTTGCAAGTGGTGGAAAAATGTTAATTTATGGTATTTCCCAGCACATTCAAATAGCTGGTATTTTAATTATGGCACAAGTACTGTAAAAACACTAAGCCACAATAATTCATAAAGCTGTACTCCGTGTTCTTCTTACTGGTATGCATAATAGTATGAAATAGCCAGGGCACTTAGACTAAAACACCATTTTTAAGGCAGAACTAACTGCAGTCTTTCAACCATCGGTCAGTCATATTTCTGCAAAATAAAGCTTACTAACTTCCTACGTTTTTATTTCTCATAGTCTTGCCCACTAAAAGCAATTTTGCAATATTGCTTCTTCCTATCTTTTCTGATTTTTGTTTTCTTTTTTTAACATCATGGATGCTTACATGTGTTGGAAAAGTAATTACTTGACGTGAGCGATGAAACAGATGTGTTGCAGAATCGATCAATCCTTTCCCATCTGAAGGAAAAAAATGCACAAAAACCTGTTTTTCCACACAACCATGAACAGCTGAAGGTAGCAGGAGCAGTGATGTGACAACTTACAGTTCTCCAGAAACCAAGGGTAAATTAAAATCTTCAAGTTATTGCCAGGCCCCTCAACTCTGCCATTAGGGGGGATGATGAGAGTCGAAGCAGTTCTTTTTTTGGAAGTAGCTCTTTGTGGACAGAGTGGGTTGAAAGAAGTTTTGTAACCATGTAATGGCTCCCAGACATCCTAGATGAGTACTGGTGATTATTTTAAAAGAAAGGTGAATACAGTAAGAATGGTAGAAAAAGTTTGTCAGTGAGTATTGCTAGGCAGCACGCTCAAGAGTTAATGAAATAAATTATACACCACATTTTTTTTTCAAACAAGCTTTAAATAGTCCATATTTAACAGAATTGTGTGTTACAGACAAGAAATTCATTCTGTCAAAACACAGGATGAGTGTTTCTCCCTGTCGTTCTTTCCAGATTACAGACTTCTTAGGAAAAAATATTTAAAGACATTAGATTTTAGAAAATAAAATTATGCTACAAAACAACGACAACAAAAAAAAAAAAAAGGTAAAATAGACCAGTGATGTACATGAACAAGTTATCTGAAGAATGTTAGCAAACAGGTACTTACAAAAAAGAAAAAAAAAGGAAACAACAATGCACAGAAATGAACATAAAGGCTTTAAAATCACAGATTCTACGCAGGCTAATTCAGTATCAAAGAGCAGAATGCATAGGCTTTATTATATACTTTGCAGTTCATGCATTTGTGAGTGCAGATAACATACACTTAAAGACATGTATTCAAATGCCTCGAAGAAGACATCTGAACTCCTCCCCAGCACCATCAGTTAGCCGCAGGGAAGAAGCTAACCCAGGTTTATTTCTTTTATTACACTGGCCTAATCCAAAATCACAATGTGTAAAAGGAAGTTAAGTGAAAGAAAGAAACAGGTATTTCATCCAAGCCGCTCAAAGATACTGGGACAGAAATCCAAACTCACTTTTTTGGTAAGCACAGTCACTGGAATGTTACGGCAGCAACACCAGCCCAGACGGTTCTCAGCTGTGTTTCAGAAAGCTGGAAAGCTGCTCCAAGAAGAACGATCCAAGGCTTCAGTGCCGAAAAATAGAAATAACCCTGTTGTACATACATATGTACACAGATGGCTCTTCTCAGAAAATAAGGGAGTGCTACTGAATATGGGGCAATATGGAGTGTGCATTAAGATATACAAGTGAAATCTTCTTGGGTCACCTTCACTCAGAGGGATAAGTCTTCTTAAAATATAATAATAATAATAATACTTCTTTATACTTGCCACTTGTTAGCAATTGTTTACATCGTAGAAAAATAGATAGTATTCTGTAACAAGAAATATAGTTATTTTGTTAAAATGGGCTATTTTAAACCAGCTACTATTCTTTCATATAAAGAATTTCTAAACAGCGAAACAAAAATAGGTAATACTGAGTGCAAAACAGCCAGTGGTATACTTTGCATTGGTCAGGAACACTAGTTGCCAGCTACTATAATTACACGTTCTGTACAATGTATTACAAAAGTCTTCATTTTTTAGAAGCTTTGGGATTTTTGCTTTTCTTCTCTCTAGGTGGCAAGTATTTAATCCAAGTAAATTCAGACTCTGGAAGTCAGAAATAATTTCACAATCAGTCTTTGCTACCATTGTCTCGCATTCCTTCCCCCACTTAGTGCAGCAGCACTTTCTGCTTATGGCCAAAAATCCCTTAAGTTAAACAATGTTTAGACTGTAGAGACTTAGAAGTTTAGCTTATAAATTCACATTCTTTTAAAAATCATTTCACTAATCTCCCACGTTTACATCTACACCAAAGAGAAAGCTCAAAAGCCTCACTTCATGCATTTCATCATCCCAGCTGAAGACTGAAATACTGTTCAGATAAAAACTCTTTGCCAACTGTAGGCATTAAGTCTTAATGCTACAAAGCCAGATGGTTCCAATGTAGAAGTCAGATTTTTCTGCGGTCTCCGCAACAGTCTCAGATACGAATAGCTAATTCCTATTGGCAGTGGTAAAGGCATTATCAGTACACCATGAACACCACAAATGGAGGCAATTTCCAAGCATCAAAGAACAAAAACAAACAAAAAGCACCCAGCAAAAAAAAATCAGTGAAACATTCTTAGTAGAGCAGGCATCTTTATTCTCTTCTCTGTTCATCTCACACCTTTTCAACTTTGGTGGGGTCATATGTGTCTGGAAAAGACAAGAAAACACAATGAATAATGTATTGTGGAACTTTCTCAACACCAGTACATGCAGTGAGCCATGGAAATATGACTTTTTTTCCCCTAATTTTTATATAAAGAAAAGGGAAACTAACACTGAACTGACAGCCCTAAAAATACACAATACATTCCTGACCCAAATTCTGTATTTGCACCAGTATAACTCAGGAGCAACTCAGATCAAAAGCATGGGGATATAATTGGGAATCCTTGTGTGGGTAGTAGGAGAGAGCTCACCGACTTCTAGTGTTCAGATGCTTTGAGACTGAAAGACACAAGATTTGCCCCCCTTACACCGAACACTACATAAATGCTGCACACTTCCTAGTGATTAAGGCCAGGTCAGTGATAGAGTTCAGTTTTCAGCATCTTTTTATTTGATTGTGCTTTCTCAGCTTGAGATTCATGCAGTGGCATAATGGAAAGCATCACCGTATCACATCACAGCAGTCAAACTGCCTCACTTCAGCCAGCAAAACTGCAGCTCATGGTTTGAACATCATTCACTAAAGCACTGGACTGTCTTACTAACATTGATCTTTATTTTAAGCCTACCTCTTGCTAGGTCACAAGATAGACCTCACTTTGCATTTCTGACGTTGGCCATGCAGCGAACAGACACAAGACTTCTCTTTCATCCTACATCCCTGTGACTCTGGGAGAGGATTGCAATGAAAGGGCTTTGCCTTCTGAGATCTGCCTGCCCTGCACATGCCTGCCTTACCCCAGACACCTTGGGATGCACAGCCGCAGAGGAGTCTGTATTCCCACAGGGGTCTGGACAACCCAGCACTGCAGCCTATGCTACTTGCTGTGCCTGTGTAACTTGGATATCTGTGCTAACCTTAAAAGTCACTCCCACAGGCTATACTCCCATAGCTTGCATTTAAACAGTTAAGCATGAAAATAGTTGGACCCATAAATAGCACACTTGAGAGTAAAATGTTCACCCTGAGGAGTCCTACATTGATATGAGTGAACGTCTTCATTCAAACAAGCATAAAAATCCTCAGAGGGAAATTTTTACTTCTATGTGTCCCTCTGCAGCATCCAGATGCATATCAAGAGACTGGCTAAGAAAGAACTTTGGCCCTAGTGGGTGCTGGGGTGGGATCTGTAATTCCACTCTCCTCACACTGATAGGTTAGCCAAGAAAGGAGTCTGTGCCAGCAGCGCCTATGTAAGAACTGCTTATCACTGTTCAGCCTCTGCTGGTATTTCCAAACTTCAAGGACAGACACCACATTAATGCACAAACTCAAAAGAAATTGAGGGCTGGTGCACCCCAGGACAGCGCTGCATCTAAGCTTAGTGCATTGGCAATGAGAGAAGATACTATTTCAGTTGCAATTACAAATGTTTTCTCCATCTAAAATATAAGAACACAACAGTTCTGAACCGCTCTGCACGAAGCTGACCTAAGAATAAAAATGGATTAACATTTCAGAAACTAGGTTCTCCCAAGGCCTCCCTGGCCCAGTTTTTGGACTCATTCACGCTGTGAGAACTCACCACCAGTTGGAGGAGCTCACTGTCTGAGGGAGTGGGGTGAGAAACTCAGGCCACAAGACTTCTGCACAGCCCAGATTATTCCTAAAAAGCTTACTCAGATCTACAGCATCTAAACCAAGGACCCCAAAGATTCAGACTGTCAGGAAGACTCCTAGTAATGTCAGAATTCTGGAAGGGCAAATACTGGAATTCCTGCACTGATGCACAAACATTTCTTCAGCATTTGGTTAAGCTAATTTGCAATGCTCTTTACAGAAACAAGGCCAGATCAGTAGCCTCACCGAAGCAGTCTCCAAACAGCAAAGAAGAAAAAAATCATCCAGTGCATTTGGGAACATTGGAGATGTTCTTCAAATGGCACTACTTGCATAGTAAGATCAGCTCTTACTCTGAGATGACTGTTCATCTGCCAAGCTACATTATACATGTGAAAGCCTGTTTCTTCTAAGGGCTCTGAGCCTCCAAAGGAGGCCCAGTCTGCAGTTGTAAGAATAACATCATCTTAGCTCACTCCAACTAGACTGGACTTCAGAAATATCTACTCTCTGAAAGGAACGCATATCAGTGGTTTTCAAGACTAGCTCTCATTTTGGCTTTCACTGGTACCAGTGAGACAGTCTGGAAGATGGAATGAGAGTTAACAAAGTCAACAAACATCAGGCCCGTCTATAAACACAAATCTTCAGTCCTGCCTCACTAAAGCAAGGTGAAGATCTTGTGGCTGTCAGCAAATCAGTCTCTTTGGATGGGAGGAGGCCAGTGGAGGGGATTGCTTCTACCATGTGTGTTACTCTGCAGTGATGGATGTGTTCAGCGCAAAGGAACAGCCATGATGCAGACATGGGGAAATCTGTTAAAAGGAACTACTGCAGTGGGCACACCTTGCAGAATACGAGCCTGGTATTGTCAGTAAGAAGGATAAAACTAGGCCTAATTTGCTGCAGAATAATTCTGAGTACAAGGCTCCAATAAAACACACACAATCTGTTTTCATACATCCCTGAAGTCTTGTCACTACAACAGTTATTTTCTTCATTCCAGCAGAAATCCCAAAAGAGGAAAGCATATGAAATACATGTGGGGCATACTAGATCTGATGAATACGTGGAAGCTGAATTAGCCTGTTTGGAAAACCTGCTCTAAAGAAATACGGCTCAGAGCAGAAAGAGATGCAGAGCCATGGGATACAGAAAAAGATGCAAAGGAAAAGGCTGTAAGACTGGAAGAGTCAATGCTTAGAATTCACATTAACATTTATCTTCAGAAATAAATACATACATTCACTGTGAAGTATGCTCAATTTAGTTTTAGTCCCTCTGTACTGGAAAACTGTAAATAGATTTACATCAATGGAGTTTAATGAATAACCTATTTGAATTTCAAGATAGAGCGGCTTCTGCAAGGAGGATAGAGAAAGAGAGAAGATTAATATTAATTTAACAACTTTCACACTATGCACTGGCTCACTCCAATTAATTTAATGCACTAGGCAGGTAGCCTGGGAGATTTATCCCTTTATGCAGATCTATGGCAACAACTGATTTTCAGTTGCTCAATACAATGCCATATGAAAACTGTTGTGGAGAGAGAACAGCTCACGTTACTTCGGGGGTGCATATGGACTACCCAAGTTTATGTGCTTTTGAGAGATGAGGAACACACACACCAAAAAAAAAGGTGTTCACTGAAAAAGTCAACATTCCATTTGACCTGGGGATAACAGTTGTGCTCAACATGTGATTTGGAAAATATTCATGAGAGAGAGAATTTTCCAGGCCCCTTAATGTAGCCATTTCCCAGAGGCTTCACAGAAGAACATCAGATTTTTATTTTTAGTTCTTTCTGAACTCTGATACAGTATGTGTCTACTTAAGTATTAGAGATGGAAAATTAGGTATTCAAGGAGAGGCTATGATTAAATCACCACATGTTCCTAAACACTGGCACAAGAGTGACTATCTTTGAACTGAGCTATTTAAAACTGGCAGTTCCCTGAAACAATTAGACAGACAGCAGACCTCAGGGACTGCTCCAGCCTCTGTGAATGAGTTTCAGTATCACAAGTTAGTTTTACAGTAAGTTTTCCTAAAATAGGATCACTCACTCATGTTACCTCTTCCACAAGGAGAGTAAAGGAGGTGGCAACCAGATGGGGGTAGTACCACCTACAGCCTGTTACTATTTGAGCATCATTACGTGGGCATAAGCAAAGCGATCGTGCCTGTTACATAAGAAAACAGTACCCACTTGGATCTCCCAAAGTAGGGTCTTACCTAAGGAAAAATCTCTGTTGATTTTCTTCTTGTCCATTCCACCGAAATATCCATTTTCACTGAGAGAGACAACACGCTTGGAGACAGTCCCTGAAGTTGCCAGTTTGCTTCCCCTCTCCTCATGTACCTTCGACAGCTTCTCCTCGTCCACCTCCTCTCCTGAGTCTGCACTTTTAATGCTCAGACGTCTCATCCGGGACACAGAGTCAACTTCTTTCATTCGCACTAAGCGATCCATGGCAGTCCGGCTTGGTGGAGATGTGAGCTTGCCTTGTAGTGTCTCTATCACTTTTGAGGTGCTCCTCACTCTCTTTTCTGAGTGCTGACACACAGTCGGTTTGGACACCAAGTTTTGCTCTTCACTTTGGCTGGGTCTCACAGGTTGTTCAAACGCTTGCTCCTTCACCAACATTTCAGTGCTGCCTTCCTGGTGAGTGGTCTGGCATTCATCAGGGTATAATGATTGGTCTCTCTCTCCAACAAAGAGAGCACTCTCCGTCCAGCCACACTTACGTCTGCTTTCATAAGAACTGTCTTTTTTTCCTTCTTTGCCACTTACAGTGCTCTCTGCTGATGACCCAAAGTCATGGGCATTGCTTGCAGGCCTTGTGCCTGGCTGAGGCCCAATGTGGTCATCCGGAAGGAGAGATTCCACTGCTATTTCTATGCCTAAAATTCTTGCAGCTCTTGCCTGCAAGGACTCATTCACAGGGATTTCCACAGAATTTTCATTTGAAGAGTAATCAGAATTGCTAGCACCAGGGCCTGAGGCTGTATCAAGTCCCACTGCCCTCAAATCTGGCTCAGAGCACCCTTGGCTCCTCTTAGTTAAGGACAAGCGTACTACTGAGCCTCTCTCAAATTGTGTATCGTTCTGGGGAGCTGCACCTTTGCTCAGTTTAACAAAGTCTAGATAATTTTGGTCTTCACTCATCTCCTGTAAGACAGGATTATTGAAAGGATTACCATGGTAGGAGCTGCTTGGGCTACTGGACAAGAATCTCTTGATAGGTCCTGTGCGAACTGGCTGGCTTTTTGCTCTATTCTTGGCTTCCCCTGTCCTCATTTCTGTTATCAGACTTCCATCTGCTGGTCTGACTCCTTCATTGCTCCCTCCTGGCTGCGAAGAGCACTGAGAGCCAACGCAGCCCATCTCAGCGCCATGCTCTGTCCCTGTGCTCCAACTTTCAGACTTACTTTTAACTCTCCCTGACTTGAATACAGGCACCTCTGGCACAACTGTCTCCAACTTCCCACAACGTTTTGGTTCTTGGTTCCCATTTCTAGGTGACCTTCTCTGTGGAAGGGCACGTGGCTGCGGAGAAGCTCCTGCACTTTCCAAGTCTTCCTCACTGCTCATGCTCTCTTCCTGCCCTTGCAGCTCCTTGTTAAAACTTTCTAGCTCACTTATTGCATCCCAGGGTCGGCGACTGACAGGCTTCAAAAGGAACTGCCCAAACAGCTCTTTACTGTTGCAAGGAGCTCCTGCTCCTCCCTTAACTACATTAGCCTTGGGAAGAACACCAGCTTCCCGCTCCTGGGCAGGCAGGGTCTGGCTCTGGTGGCCCTTTGGCGAGGAGGCCTGTGGGACAGAAGTGGCAGTTCTAGAAAATGCGCTGTTGCTGGACTGGCTGAGGTACATCTGTCCCTTCATGCCATAAGCACCCTGTATGCAGCCTCTGTCGCCAGAAGGTGACCCTGTCTGTTTCAACCCAGCTGTGGATGTCGTACATCCTAGTTGCTTTGGAGACAGCGATTTGTTACTGCTGGGTTGCCCAGGCTTTGTACCATGGAAAATCTGTGGGTTTTTAGGTTCTTCAGAGAAACTGGTCTGTGTTTGCTGGTCTTTGTACTGATCACCTGGCCAGGAGCCAGAGTATTTGAGCTCTCTGTGTTTTGCAGGCTGAATAAATCTGAGGTCATTCATTTGTTTGAACTCTTCTGGTCTCCACAGCTCTTGTTTTTGTAACTCATTTTTATTGGTCATGCTTCCTGTAAGAGCTTGTAACTCCAAGTCAGTTGAAGACATACTTAAGAGACTTTGTTCTTGCAAAGCCCCATTGTTATCAAACCCATTCTTATCAGGGCTCTGGGTTATGTTGTTGTTCCTATCTGTATCTGGCAGATTTGATTCTGATTTAACTGGGATAGAGACCAAACAAAATATAGTTTCATTCATTTTTTTCTTTGAACTCTTTTTGCTCTGCATCCCAGTTCCAGGTTCAAACTTTTTCACTTTTGTAACGGTCTCACAGGTGCTATCCATATGTGAGTTTCTTACAAGAAGTTTGCCTTTTGTGTACTCTGTGCTGGCTTCATTACAGGGGCTGTGATTAGCTGTGCTACAACTGTCTCTTTGGTCCAGCAAGGCACAATTTTCCTGATCTCGGACGGATGGTGCCAACCATCTGCTGCTGTGGGTGGAGCTGTCAGAAGTTCTTTCTCCCTTTACAGAACCGGGTAAGTGTGATGCATCCAAAAAGGCACTGTTGTACTGTACTTCAAGATCTCTCTCTTGCAAAGTACTCGAACTGGGACTATGTGCATTTTCAATGTATTTAATGTTGTCCTGCAGACCTTCAGGTGGTGCAATTTTAATATGCCGTATCCGAGGATCATCAAAGGGAATATACTGAACAGAACGCAGGAAGTCAGCGGGGCGCCTCGAATGGCTTTGCTTCCCAGGAGGAAGATGGCTGTCTTTGCAAGGTGTGGCCCCCATTTCAGCACTGTTCACAGCTGGTCGTTGGCAGGCAACAGCCCGCTCTGCAGTGTCCTGCTGATCACTGCTGGCATATGTGGCATTGTTAGGCACTTCACTGAGGGGATGTGGGCTCACGGTATGGTGAGGTGGGGATTTGTAGGAAGGAGGAGGTACATAGACCGGGGGCTCCAAACCAGGATCATGAACACAAGCATCTTGCCTCGGCTCACTTGCTTTGGCTAAATAGGAAATGGGTTCATCCTTCTGGTAGTGGTCCTGAAAACCAGTTTCAGCAGTTCTGCTCTGTCGCTGCAGTTCATAGGATGGAGGCTTCAGAGGCCTCCCATACTTGGGCTTCACCAGGGGAAGGAAATGGCCTCCCGTTTCATGGTGCTTGGCTGATTCCACAGTCAGTCTGTGTGAGGGATAGGAGGGGGCTTTACTTACGCTGAGGGAGTTGTTGCTGTTGGTCAGGGAGGGCATTTCCACACACCTCATGCTCTCCTGCAGAAGGACTCTCGGCAAGGACTGTGATTTCCCTTTGTTGTGGGAGCCTAAGACATCGTCTCCCAGAGTCAGCGAATACAGCTCTTGGAGCAGTTTCTCTCTGTCACCATCCGACATTTGCCTTCCTACCTTTTTTGGCTGGTTCCAGCTTTCTGTTCTCATGTTCTGCCATTTGCAGTCCCCAGGCCCCTCATAGCTCTCGGGCAATCCACTTCTCCTGACATACTCTGTGCTCAACCCCACTTTCAGCTGAGCATCCTTGGGGTGCCTGGGTGCCCCGTGGGCTGCGGCCAGACCCTGCATTTCTGCACCTCCTTTCTGGGAGTAGCCCAGCAGCACGCTGAAGTCCTGCCCTCTCCTTCTCCAGTAAGCCAGATCTTTATCACTCTTGGGCTGGGAAGACCATGCTAGTTGAGGCCTGTCAAAAACCCTGAAAAAGAAACACAGTGTCATAGGCAATTTCCACAGATGCACTTTCTTTCCCTTATGGGTAATTCCATTAAGAGGTCAAATGGTGAGTTATGCCAATGGGGTTTCTGTAATCTATTTACAACCAGAAGGCTTCATGATTTTAATCAGAGGATTTAAGTCAGTCATTAGCACGAGCAAAGAAACAGTGAAGGAACCGATGCTCTTCTGGCATGCTGTTAGCAATGCAAAGCTGTTAGAAAGAGAAATAAATGCACACAGTTATGTGCTCTGCAAACATGTACAGCTCCCTCAATGGGCACCAGAAAGCCAGAAATGATTATGATGAACTTATTTCTGCACTCTGTTACATCAAAATCTATAAACTTCAAGGGGATCACTGGTACAAGCAAGTTTAATAGGAATCTAAAGCTAAAATGCAGAGGGTAAGGAGAACAAGTAGAGGGCTACTTCCTAAAATATATCGTGTAAGAAGCATGATAAGCTGAAATTAAACATGTCATTTCCTGCGTTGATTCTTGTTCATCTTTCTGAGGGGACAAATCCCTTTGATAGGCTTTGGATGAAATGATACATGACACAACAATGGCAACGTATCAGCACATAGCTCTTACTATGATGGAACCAACATTTAAATCTAAAACACCCCAAAAGAAGTATAACTTTTGCTTAGAAATAAAAGAGGGATCATCTCCAGCTACCCATTACTGAAATATGAAAAACATCACACATTTTATCGCAGATTAGAAATTCACGGACTTAAAAGAACAAAACAGTTTCTCCATGTGTTCTGAACAGACTGAACTATTTAGTATATTACTACTGAACAAAATTGGTACCTTTTCTTCTAAATAATTAATCTTCTACTTCAACTGTGTTCTGCTATTCTTATACCTATGGTGTCCAACAGGATAACTGCTATTACACTATGCAGCTGCCACCAGCATACAACTAGAATGAAAAATCAATTTTGACATAAATAGGACAAGTATGTAGATAGAACCCAAGAATTTCTCCCTCTTCCGTCAACCCCAAGATACATAAACAGTGTCATTGGGCTCCTTTTTCTTTTTTTCACTATAAACAATGTATTTGAACAGCAGTTTGTGAAAACTTAATATAATTCAATTGAAAATTATTCAGTCTAGATCCACAATAATTTTCTTTTACATATATTAACTTTATCCTATAAGAGCTGAAAATAAAGCTGGGATATCTTGTTCACATTAATTCTGTTAGATTAAGATGTAACATCTGAACAAAATGTTCTGACTCTAACGCACAAAATACTGTTCAATTGCAGAACCCCAGGAAGTAATAAATGTCTAAATTAATCAGTGAGGTACAACAGGGCACCTCCTATATTAGAAAGTTGTTTGCAGTAACAACAAACTTTTCAGTGCCTTTCAGCACGTGGAAACAACTGAACTTCTGTCGTCTTCTGAGATTATCACATCTTTACTTTCATCTGATCCCAGTGCTACTACAGCACTGTTTGTATCTCTGTTTACAACACCAGGAGGGAACCAGGCTCTAGCAGTAGTAAGGTGGGGATGGACAGATTACTATTCCTGTTCTGTCAGATTTGCTAACACAAAATACCCAATGTGATTTAATTAATCATCATGTGAGGATCTAAGGAAAATCCTAGAAAGTACAGAGTCATAGATGCCGAGATCAGAAGAGACCCTTACAATTATTTGGTTTGACATCCTGCTCAGTGCAGGCCAGCAGCCTTTCCTGAAATGGTTCCTGCTTCAGTGCTACCAGGTCTACTAGAAAAGCATCTCAAAATCTTAATCTTTACATTTCTAGAAGTGGTGAATCACTATTGTTGCAAAGATTCATTCACCATTTAAAAAAAAGAACAAAAACATTGAACATAAAGTAAAAACAAATACTTATCAGCCCAAGTACAAAAACACTGGGGGAAGGAAGTATGGTCGACACTAATATTGAGATTTGCAATGGCCACAGCTAACAGTACAGAAATGAAATGGGCTGGCTGTTCAAAGGCTTTAATAGGAAACAGGGAATGGGGAAGGAAACATTACTCAACTCTTTCCTAGGAAACCAATAAAAGAACAGTTTTGGTTAGTTTGCTTTTTTAAAGACAACCAAAGCTCAAGCTCAGATTTTCATTAAAGTAAATTGGCCCTAAGTGAGAAGAGTGCCAGTTACAGAAAGGGTGTTCCTCCATTTAGTAAAACTTTTTAAACGTATTAAAACTGTTAAAAATATTAAATTTATTTTTTAAGATTAAATGATTAATAGCTGGACTCTGATAATAAACTTCCAAACATGATACAATCTATCTCATGGTCATGCAAGTGTAGAAAAGACATTTAAAAAGAAGTATTTAGAGCATTTAAACCTGATCTTTTTCATGATCTTTTCACTAGGCAAATAATGCATTCTCTCCAGCTCTGGGTTAGGTGCTAGAGGTGGTTATGTGCAGCCATCCAGGGATATAGAAGAGTCCTATTGGACCAAGTAGAAAAATTAAAACATTATGAACTCTTTTCTGAAAGTCCTGCTTCAAGCAGATACCATGTGTGCTGTCAGAAAGTGCTTGGAATTAATTCTGTATAAAATTAGGTTAATGAGAAAACATTTTAGAAACTATTGCTAGCTCTTCTCAGTAGAGGAGGCCATCAGCCTGCCCTGCACTGGCTGCTCAGCCACATGTCACTGAGCTGATGCCCTCAGAGCAATGGGTCATGGCTGCCACAGGGCAGTGCTGGACAAGTGGACTTCACATGACTCACCAGAAGCAAAGGAGCATGGCTGACATCACAAAACTGCAGGGCTGTACAGAAACAGCATAGGAGTTTCTGTCCCAGAGTGTAAGCGGTAGGGATCAGGCACCCAGCTACTCAGGGTCCATGAGATGTGGGCACTGGGGCAGTTCTTTGTGCCCAACAGGGAGGTACTGTAAGGAACTTATTTACAGGATTTGGCAGCAAGGGGGAAAAAGTTCAGAGAGCTTTTATGGACACTGGCAACTTCTGTTCTATTTTGGGATCCTATCCTCACATACACTCACCCACTTTGAAACACCAGTACCGTCTTCTAATTTTTGCAGCAGGTGACCTCATTAATGATACTATCTACTTAGCTCTAAATTTGCTAGCTACTAACATAGTTCCTCCCACACAAATAACGAAGCAACACACATCTCCTCACTTGGAAACGAAGCAGCCGTTCTCCTTCTATGAATCCTCTCTTCTTTACCACAAGGGCAGCTTCCCTCCTTTCTTTGCCTTTACTGTGTGGCCTTCCTAATGCTTAGCAAAGCAAGGATGACTGGGACAGCCCTACCATCACCTGCTCCTCTATGTGGAGAACAAGGTATAATAAATCATCATACTGGCAGAACAGTGAAACAACCCCAAAGTGGCTCATTTCTCAAGAGCAGTGTCTGTATGGCTGTGTCTTTTCTTCTCCTGAGTTTTAAAAACAGGGAAAGCCAGGGTCTAGCCTAAGGAGATGGGCTGGAGAGTTCTCACCGTACAGCCTGGCAGTTAAAGCACAGGTGCTGCAGCACCAACACTGCAGCAAACTTTATTCAATCTGGCCCACCGACTGCTCCTGGGCAGAGCCAGCATTGTGCTGTGCATCCAGGGATGGCAAGGAAGGGGCAGCTGCTACAGAGGTTCTCCCTCATTCCTAGCTGTGAGTGACGCATAAGAGCTCCCAACAGGTTCACTGGGAGTTGCAGTTTCCTTAAGAATACAAAAAGATTTCTATTTTTGTTGAAGAGCAACAAAGTCATTTACAGGACCGTGATCCCTATTTCATGTGAAAAAGCAGCTTTTTAAAACCAGGATACCATATTTACCATGCTGTAGGCTGACAGATTCCTTGCCTTGCATTCTGAGAGGTTAGAAAGGGACACTCAATCTGCCAGGAGTTTTGCTCTTAGCGTCCCCTCACCCATGCAGATGCCTCTGTCACATCTCAGACATATAGGAGACAAGTAAGCCTCTGCCATGGCTTTCTTCACTTCATTGCTGTCCAGTTCTCCTCATTCCAGGCACACCGTGAAGAATCCTCCTTACCACCAGTAAGGCCACGTCCTCTCCTGCCTCCAGAAGCTCTGCTTTCACCTGGGCCTTTCCCTGCTGTAGGACATGCCACCTTAGCACCACCTCACAGTGCTCCCATCCAACCCTGCCCGCTATTCCAGCTGGCAGTCAGGAGCCACTCCTGCTCCAGGCAACTGGCCTCGCAAGGGGAAGGGAGATGAAGGGGACAGATGAAAGGGAAGAGCAGACAGGCACAGCATCCAGGGGACACATGCCTTTGCCACGAGATACTGAAGGTCTTTGAAAGAGGACAAGGTCCCAAGGCTGGAGAATTGTGTCCTGCTTTCAGTTTCAAGCCTGTGTAGGAGGAAGGGGCTTTTCCTCATGAAATGCCGTCACAGCAGGGCTGGATCCCAGTCCTACTCTCACCCCTTCCTTTGTTCACGGGGAGCTCTCAAACAGCTGCAGAACAATGCTGGGCCGCTGTATACACACAGCTCTTCCTGCCCAGCCTGCCCCAGCCCAGTGCGCACGTAGACTGCAGTTATTGAGCCATGCTGGTGCTAGTGCACATCCTATGGAGTGACGACAAGAGCTTCCACTGGCTTTGAGTTGCTTTAAAAAGAAACACACAGGCACCTCCTTATGTTTACTTCATAAGAACAGCCTCAGGAAAACAAGAAAGTCCTCTGTGCATGGAAGAACACCCACTGAGAGCTTCACACAGCTGAATCTACCACCACAACCAGGACATGCATGTGGCTGGGTTTGGATTTTTAAAACTACTCCTTTACAAAAGGAAGAGCTTTTGCCCCTTTACGTTTTACCGCACTTAGACTGAGCTTTCCTAAGAGCATCAGCAAGGCATTTCTGAGGCAGACAGTATGAGTCAATGGCATTTTCCCTCACCTCAGTATTCTCAAAGCAGCAGCCAAATGGAAGTGCCATCTCTTTGGGTGGACATCTCACAGCATTATAAGGTTGGAAAAGAGCGCTATCATCCAGTCCAACCATCAACCCATCACCACTATGCCCACTAATCCACATCTGTAAGTACCACATCTACTTATATTGAACACCTTCAGGGACCATGACTCCATCAACTCCTTCAGCAGCCCGTTCCAATATCTCACGACTCCTTCTGAGAAAAATTTTCTCCCAGTATCCAACATGAACCTCTCTGGGCACAACTTAAGGCTATTACCTCTCATCTCAACTTGCAGTGCATGGAAACAATCACAGTGGTATGGAAGCAGGAAAGATCACAGGAAGATGGTGTCAGGGGTTAGGGACATGCTCAGTTATCTGACAGAACCAAAAGAAAAAGAAAGCAAAGCCATGGCATGGTGCTGAAACTTACCCCCCTTCTGAAGTATGAAAAGTGGACAAACCCTGAAGGTCATGGTGGTAACCAGGACCTGCTTGTCTCCCTTGGCTCCCATGACTGCTTTCGGTGCTGCTCGAGTTGGTTTTCGTCAGAGGCTTCTTGCAGTAAGCAGCTCTAGGGTCTGCTTCAAAGCCATTCAGCGTCCTCTGAGCAGATCTGTTCCCTGCAGCTTCATGCCGGTATCCATCATATCTGTTCTCATAGGAAGCAGGGGGATTTTTAGACAATTTGTATCCATGAGAAATCAGGAGGTCCTCCACACTGAACATATTGCGTTGGTTTCACTCACAGTTGTGCCTTCAGAAAGCTCTTTCCAGCAAGACCCATCACTGGAAAAAAATCAAAGAGAAGACAGCCTTAAACAAGGAGAGACATCCCTGATCCACAGGTAGTGCTGCTAAAGACGAGGGTTTCACTGGTCAATGCAGCTTTCAGATTTTACTATGGCATCTCCAAAAAACCCTGTGCCAGAGCTGAGCCCACCATCCGAGTCAAGCCTTTGCCTAAAATCCAGATTCACTCCTGTCCTGGAGTGATGTGCTCTGCATTATGTTTCAAGTCACTGTGGGAGGAGGGGAAAGCCTACAAGACAACGTGCCACTCCCTACAGCTCTGCATATTCCTATTAAGAAAAAATGTTCACATGAATAAGGACAGTATTTGCATGAGAACCAAAATTCATGATGCAACCACATGAGAAACCCAGGTAATACCATGCAACACCCCTGTTAAGCAGCCTTTTTTACAGATGATTTTCTTCTTGACCTACATTGACCTGCTGGAATCCAGCAATCATCACCCAGAACAACACAAAGCCTAAGATTTCAAGTATGCTCTATTTTTACAGCACACTTTCCCTGTGAAAAATGACTGAAAACAACCTGAGGTGCCTGTGTCTATTGTGTCTCAGTGATTCCAACACACACGACAGTCAGGATTTTTCTCTCCAGTGACAGCTCTCAACTCTTCACCAACTACAGCAAAGATTCAGCAAAATGAATTAGTTGGCCGGAAACAATCTCTATTGTCTGCACCTCTCTCACATCTTGTTACAGCAATTACGGGATATCCATTCCTCTACAGTTCTAAAACGATTGGAAGGTAATGATCTACTCTGTAGGTTGTGCACAGCGAGAAACCAATTCTGGGACATTCCTCCTTGCTTGAACTGCACTACAAGAAAAGAAAAAGGTGCATAAATGAGAAGTGAAACACACCAAAATAGATTTGTTATGTAAAACAGAACACTCGAGATGATCTTCCCCGCATAAGCACTTCATCCAACATGCAGGGTGAGTGCTGAGAACCCTGCATAGCAGCAGCCCTACCTGAGGGACAAGAGCTCTCACTGGCAGCTGCTCAGAAGGAGATCTCTGCAAAGATCATGAATCATAGAATCGGAGAAACATTACAGTTGGGAAAGGCCACTAAGATCATCTAGTCCAACCATGAAAAGTGAGTGCATGTTATACACAGGGCTCTATTGCTCTTCTTGGGCAAGAGGAAGGCAAGAACTCTTGCCACTGTTGTTTAATGAAATACATGAACATATGTAGTGCAGAAATACACAAACACTTGTAATGCAGAGCCAAGATGCAGCCAGTAACTTAGAACGCTGCAAAAGTGGCTTTGCAGCCTGCTAGCCTGCTTAGCATTTAAACCGGTTTGTCTCTGGAGCTTAATGAATCTCTTCCCTCTTCACACATATAACACTACACACCCTTTAAAATATAAAAATAAAGCTGTGATGAAGATATGTTAGGAGTATCCCTTGCTTGAACAGGGCTCCAAACTCCAGCAGGGAGGAGCGGGCTGTTCCCTCCTGAAAGGCTCTGTGGGTTATTTTTGAAAGGCTGATTTTCCATCCATCCCCCACCCTGGACTGCGTGAGGAGCCAGGTAGGAGCTGAGCAAGGGGAACAGCTGGCTGCTAGAGCTGTTCAGCCTCCAACAGGAGAAAGATCTGATGTGACGACCAGGGAGAGCAGAAAGCCCATCGGAGCGCTCACAGGTGCAAGGAAGAGCTGTGCTTTTCCTGCTATTATTGCCAGTCTGGCACAGAGCATGGCTTAACTCTCTCGCTGCTGCTGCAGGGCCATCAGGGAGGCAGAGGGGAGCAGTGAGAACACACTGCCATGGGCTCAGCTCCGATCCCATTCCTGATGAGGAGCAGTGGGATGCCCAGTGAGTTAGCACCCAGCACCCACAGGGACACAAGCTGGCTTCCCCAAACCAGTCATGGTGCTGCGATGCTCTTCCCAGCCTCCTTTAGATAAATAAACATAAAAAATGAATATCAAAGGAGTTGCACTGGCAGGAGTAGCAAAACTGTGGCTGCAGCACGTCCTTGTAAATAATCTGTGAGACTGGGCCAAAGAGCAAAGGCTGCACAGGGCTTCCAATTTGAGGTAAGATCAACAACGCTGGAAAACAGTTTGTTTTTCCAGCGCTCATTTGTTTTGTTTGCCAATGACATCAGTGCTCTCTGATAGGGTTTGCTTCCTGAGGATGCCTGCTATCTTGCCAGGGTTTCCGACTTGTCCCCGTCAGCCGGTACAGCTCTGCACTAAACCGCAACCAGAGCCAAGCTTTTCTAAGGAAACTTCTCAGCAACTCTCAGATGCATGGGGGCTGACTGTGGTACCAGCACACAGACACGATGGGACCCCAGCAAGGAGGTCACGATGGGAGCCTTGGGTGGGATGGCCACAAAGCGGCAGGGATGCCTGTCCCAGCATGGGGATGGCATTACTGCCCCAGGGATAAGCCCCAGGCACTCCCAAAAGCCTCTGAGAAACGTGGTGCTGGAGCCACCTCCATGCTGCTTCCAGAGTCCCCTGTCTGTGGGAAAAACATGCTCATTTCTGCTATGTTCTGCCTGCATCTGCACGTTTGCGCAGCTGCTTTCCAGCCTTATTTTTTGGGAGTGCCACCAGTTCTGTCAGTGACAATGAATGCCAGCTCTTGCTGCAGCAGCAGCTCTGTCATTGCTCTGGAAGGGCTCATGTGCTACTGACCCCCCATACAGCTGTGCCCCTTTACTCAGCACATGGCAGAGTTCCCTGGCATGGTACCATGCATCTCAGTGGGAAGCAGCAGGGACACAGAGCTGGCCACAGGCTGGCTGCCCTCTGTTAAATCTCACCTTCCTCTGCCATTTAAAGTAATTTGGATTGCGTGATTCTCCCCATTCATTTTTGCTCAAGTATAACATTTTGCAAGCAATTTTGTACAACTTTACAGAAACGGAAACAATGAGGGAGCGTTATTCACACTGCAAAATGAATCATGCAGCCATCATGAGTTGCCCAAATGAGGGCCTTCTGCATGGACATACAAGGTGCTGCAGCTAGTGATTACACCAAGCCTGCAGGACTCCCTCCTCCTCTGGAGATGATGTTATCTTCATGGGTTTATCTACAGCAATTATCCAGATGCTACTCTGAAGATGGAGTTACCAACAGGCATTTGAATTACAAACTGTGTTATCTAGATGGGTCACAATTAAACTAGCTTATCTTCCCTCATTTCTGCAGTGTGGTGACATTATTCTTGTTTTATGTCAGAGGAGTGCCACACAGAAGTATTTATGTAGACAGATTTAAGTGACAACCACCCTCTGCATTCTAGGCACCCGGTGTGAAGTGTCTGCATCCAAAGTTTTTGAAAGCACAGCATTAAAACTGAGCAAGACACTGCTGAAGAGCCCAGTGCTCTGCACGTCGTGCCACATGTGGGAAGCCATGTGCCAGGAGCCCACAGAGACACAGAAACATAGAATGAGTAAGGTCAGAAAAGACCTTCGAGATCATGTAGTCCATCTCCACCATGTCCACTAAACCATGTCCCTCTGAGGGACACTGAGAGACAGTGCCACATCCACATGTTTCTTGATCACCTTCAGGAATGATGACTCCACTATCTCCTTAGAAAGCTGTTCTAATGTCTTACCACTCTTTCTGAGAAGAAATTTTTCCAAATATCCAACTGGAATCTCTCCTGCCACAGAGGCTGACCTCCAACTCACTACAACCTCTATTCAAACAGTCATAAGGAGAGTGACAAGGTCTCCCTGAGCTACCTCTTCTCCAGACTAAACAATTCCATAAAAGAGGTGACCTAAGAGGTTGGCTGCAGTAATTTCTCTCTTCCTCACCTCTGTTCCTCTGTCCATCTAACCCAGCCACAACCCTTTTGTCCAGGCTGCCCCCACTTTCCTTGTGCCGTTAACTTCTCACCTCTTTGCACTCTGGTGCCTTCATTTCCCAGTTCCCTGAGAAACTAAGGAGCAGTTTGCCTGGGGAAAACAAGGGCTACACAGGCACGCTCTGCTTAAACATCCATAGGAGCAATGAGAGCACCAGCACTGTCCCTGCACCCGGGGCTATGAGATGCTGATGAATGTGAAAATAAAATCTTGGGAAAATGGAGTGACTGGAATCAGAGATGCACCTGCTGAGAACACACACAAACATCTCCAAGCCTCATAACCAAAGATCCTGTTCCTGAATGTGATGGCACTGCAGCTCTCAATCAAACAGCTGGAAGTTTTTTTTTTCCTTTCTCCTTTTTAATGTGGCTGAAACAACATTCCTTTTGCCCCTCCTCCTCCCCCTAGTTTTTCTTGGAAATGGTTGAATTAGTTTGGCTGATGATATGAGAATAAATTTAGCTAGAGAGAGACACAACCTGAAAGTCTCTGATTGAATGATAAAAGCCTGACAGACTACAGCGACAAAGAACAGGTTCCTGGAGCAGAAGTTATAATACTAGATGGGACTGCTAGCTCAGTCTAAATATAACCCTGAGCAACATCCCAGGAGAATATGCAAGTCTTTGGCCATGGTAACCCGTCCTGTTTTCTCACTGATTTTGCATGTGTGCATACAAGACAGGTTATCAAAAACACGCACTCAGCAGGGCTTCCACCTTGATCATTCTGTCCTTTTGGAGACACTGAAGTCAGACGGAGTGTGCGGGGCAGTGCAGAGCAGCGCAGTTATGCCCCTGCCCTCTGCTCAGACCCACAGACACTGCCCAAACAGCCGCCTCCACGGCCAGTTACTGATAAACACATTCACGTGGTAAAGATGAAACTCATGTATTTGAAGAGTTTACAACAGCAGCATTCACTACAATCAAATATTACATAGTTAGTGCAAAGCTAGGCCAATACACAGACAAAAGAGGTTACAGAAAATTAATGTAGGTTGAATGCATTCTGCACAGCAGGGCCTGATTAAGTGTATACCAGGAGTGAGGAGGGAGCAGAGAATTCACCAGAGCAGCCTCCAAGCCATTAGCAAACACCTCTGAGAATTTTCAGAGGA